CATTCTTTTCTATGGTAAATATAAGAAAAATTTAAATTGTTTCATCAAAATACTGACTTTAAATTACACATGAGCTCCATTTATGCAGATTAATCAGTCTTATTCTTGAAATTCTCTTGAGCAGAGAAGTCATTTAAAGATCTCAGGCCACCTGTTTGGCCTGTCTCTGCTCACACCTCATCTGCACATACACTATCATTGTTCCAGCCACAGTATTCTTTTTCAAAGGAGAATCTTCTATTTTTTCTCCCACATATGAAGCCTCAGTTATTTCACAAAACACATGTACCACCATAAAGAGGATCAAGCAGGGGAGATCATATACTGCCGGGCTTCCCACAGTTCTGGGCAGAGTGGTTGGAACAGTTCAGTGCAATAGAAGGTGATCAAGGGAAGAGAGAACAAAGCCTCCTGCGTATTCACTGACCTTCCTCATTGGTCACATTACCTCCTGAGCTATATCTTGGTCAGATCAGCAGTGGCAATAGATTCTCATAGAAGCAGGAAGGCCACTATGAAGTGCAAATATGAGGATATGTGCTCTTCTGATGTGTGCTCCTTATGAAAACTGAATGCATGAAGATCTGAAATGGACTTGAGGTGGTGACACTAATTGTGGGAGCAGCTGCAAATGCAGGTGAACATTGTCAGAGAGCTTCAACTGCACAGAGAGCATATTAAATAAATATATGCAGAGTCATGTCAAAACACTGTTAGTGATTGGCAAATTTCAATTAAGTTGTATCTAGTGATAGCCTTTACAGTAATAACTACGTGGACATGACCATCTAGTTGCTGGGAGACAAGATCAGTGTTAACATTGATATCAGATTATAGTGAGTTGTATCATTATAGTGTTATATACTTTAATATAACACAAATGTTACACAATATAATAAATATAGCATGTTTGAATAAAGTGAAAAACATCAACCTCATGTTTCAAATCTGTCATAAACTTATCTCCACAGAAGTGGCCTCTGGTTTTTTAAGTCTTGGGTACCACTTATATAGCCGTCATCTGCTCGCTCCACTCTGTGCTTGTGTATAGAAGTGTGTATCTCTAGCAAATGAGACTTTTTAGCAGTACATTGCAATGGATTCAAGTACAGCTCTGTGAAATTCCACTTGGTTAACATGTTTGAGGCCCTTAGTTCAAACTTCAGTTCTATCCACAGAAGTTATCATGCAATAAACTCTCAGAAGTTACAATAGTTTTGCAACTAAGTTATATTGCACAATGATTCAAATTTGTTAATTTTCACAATTTTATTTTGCACCTTAATTTCTCATAAAGATAAAATGTTTTTCCACTAAAATCTTACCACTAATTCCTGAAATTCATGAGTGCTATATTTGTTTTTTCTTATGAAAGACAGAATGTCAACATTTACACCAAAATTCATATAAGTGAATAGGGTCAAAAATGGTCCATAATAGAAAATTTGAAAATGTTGACCCTGTTCAAAGTTATGTAAATTGGGACAGCTATTTAGATGTACTCATATAGCTTTAACAACCTTTATCCATAGAGGGATAGCAGTAAATTAATATCAAATTGTCAATTTTAATTTACCTTGTAAGGTCTTGGTAGATCTGGATTCCGGTACCTTAATGTAAGTAAAGCAACCATATTTAGCCCATTTAGAAACCACGATGCTAATCCCATATATTTTATTAAATTGATCAAATTTGAATGCATAACAGCAATGGAAGATGCAAAGATTAACTGCATCACAGCTAAAGCTGGAGAGTGATGCTTATTGAGCATAGAGTAGATCCGAGGCAATTGTCCTTCCTGGCTTGCAGCATAGATAGTTCTTGATCCTGAAAGTATTGCACAGGACATCGTGTCAATTATTGAAGCTGAAATCCCCAGAGAAATGATCCATTGCATGGAAGGGAATACTCTGTCCATCCATGAGACAGCAACAGTATCTACAAACATTAAACAAAATTTAAAATATCATAGTTATTTTGACATTTTTGCTAATCCATATGACTTCATTCTTCTTGAGTCTATCCCTTTGATGATATAAATTGACTGTTCTTTACAAGGGAGGAAGTCTCCTTAACTTCTTGCATCATTTGTATCCTCATCTATGTTTTGACTAGTCAAATGAAAATTGTTAACTCTGGTTTTTAGCTACTTCCACAGAGGTTTTTGGAAGCTTCTCTTGCTGTCTTGATTGGAACCCTGTGTACCTATTACTTTAACAAGCTCACCCTAGATTATCAGAGATGTAGCCCGTGCAAGTCATGTTATCTCTGGAGAGGTGCAAATGCATAAAGATCACCCTTTTAGAAAGTTAATAATCCCAGAGTTCCTACTGCACTGTGAAATCTAACATGAATTAGTCTTTAAAAGGAGCAGCTCTCACAGGTTGCTCCCAGTTACTGACTATGGCAGAGAAACATGAAAACTCATTTACTTGATGCTCAGTGATGGCTAAAGGGCTCCTTATATGCTTCCTAAACTATCCTTGTATGCTGTGGCTGTTTGAGTTATTTTTTCCTCCATCCTCCCCTTCTTGTTACTTTTGCTTTGGCCCAAACTTTCATTATGGTAGCAATGCTTCTTGGTTTTCTGCTTGGTTGACTTAACACAAGCCTTTTCCCTAACAGAATTCTTGCACATGTAACTTTGTTGTGGGATCTGCATCAAATGCTGAAAATAACATCTTTGTGGGGCCTCAAACTGCATGGCTTGCTCTGCTTAATTTTTTCCATAATGCAGTGACCTGCACACTCAGAAATAACCCCAGCATGCACACCTGATGCTATCGTAAATTGAGCAAATGTAGAATTTTGACCTCTAATGTTATTTTAACTCTCTTTTTTGGGAGTGTTCTGTAAAATCAGAACTACTGATATTGTTACCAGTAGTATTATGAAATAAAAATGTTAATAAAAGGATTTTATTTCAGGATGGATGGGTTTTCTAAGTCATTTACAACATTAAAAAATTAGATCTTGTGTTGTATATACTTCAAGCATGCTGCAAATTTGTTGAAAATTGTGATGCAGACATTACATTTCATTATAGACAATTTTGTGATATAATCATGTAGGCTTATTACTTGTGGGATCGATGTATTTCTAATGGTCATTAGACAAACGAACAGATGAATTATTTCATGTTGCTTTTTAATACCAACTGTTTAATTGAATGTGTGTATGTGCAACATCAATTTCTATCATTTCTTCTAAAGACAATCTGTGTTCTCAAAAGTCAAAGACTTTTTAAAAGTGTTAACACTGCTGAAAGATCATTGTCATCATATTCTAAGTTTATTGCCTGTGTTTCATTACATGATTTTAAAATTCTTTTCCCAGACTCGTGTTCATATGAGATGAGGAAGTTGGACTTCAGAGATATAGCCCTGGAATCATTTTTATTGTTAACGTGAGGTACCCAGTTGTGTCTGTGATGTGCAACATAATGACCACTATTGAATGAAAAAAAACCATGGCAGTGTTTAAGCCAGAAATTGGCTTGATTAAGTTTGTGTATTGTAATGCTATCTGTGGAGACTGACAGGAGATGAGATTGGAAGAACTGCATAAATTAATAGGTTGCTTCGGTAAACCACTCAAGAAGAATGAGGCTCTGTACCAAGGCACTTAGGACAGGAAAGATCAGGGTAGAGTACTTGGAAATCAGTGAGGTACATTTGTGTAGGTCTGCACACTTTATTCAAGATGGAATGCAAGTTAATTCTAATTTCTTCCATCTTTTCACTAATTAAAACATACCTGTTAGTGGATTTCAGCATTCCTGTGAGAACATAAACTGTGAATATGAAATGGTAACACATTCATGCTTCCTTTTTTTTTTTTTTTTTTTTTCAGAACTGGGGATTGAACTCAGGTCCTTGTGCTTGCCAGGGAAGC